ATAAAAGCATGTTTCTTCTCTCAAATAAACAATTGCCAATACTAAGAACATATTGCCAATATCTAACAAACTCCACATTCAAAATGTCTAAAGAAATTATTACCTTTTTACCATGGAAAAACGGCAGCTCACGAACTACATGGTTGCCATGGTAACATCTAAACAAATTGCGGGTGAGGCCCGTTACACTTGGCCTAACAACACAATTTAAAAAACTGGTTTAAAGTTTGAAGTCTCTACTTTTAACTTGAGGTTCTCAGAGAAGGTGGGTCTTTACAGGTAGTTTTTTTTTTTCTTCCTAAACTTTATTTAGGTCAGCCAGCACTGACAACGCTTTGCGGGTGATGTAATAGGCTCTGCAACATGGCGAGGGACGCATAAATCGCGAGACACAACAAATCGATAATGAAATTAGTTGCCATCGCTTTTAATAATTGATTTTTATGATTTTATTGATTCGTTGTTGCAGCCCTAATTCAGTCACAAACTTTTTATTCTGTTTTACAGTAAGATGGCAACAAGATGATTTAAACTAAAAATTTGATGCCAGCAACCAACGAAACTTCATTTTATTAAACGTCTCTTTCAGTTTCTACTGTCCATCCTAACTCAGTCTCTTCTGCTCGATCCTGTAACAGTAGTGCCCGCTGGTGACGAGGAGAAAATAACAGCAACCTGTGGGGTTTTGGGTATGTTAACATGATAATTTATGGGTTATTAAAATTCATAAATTATATTCCTCGGAGGCACCACTTCCCTTAATTTTGTTAAGAATTATAACCCAGGAAAGAGAAGAGAAAACTGTAACTTTTTTACCATTCAGTCTCTATTGAATCAGTACCCAAAATTACCTGAGTTCTTGTCTTATCAAGTCAATAAGATTTCATCAAGACACAAAGAGACATTAGCTTATTTTGACCCGTTCTCCACAAGTCATTTATTTACAGATTAAAATGTATTTACACAGACTTCCGGTTATGGCGGCCAGGTGAAAGGACGTGTTTCCACCGCTCTGCTGTTCTTGTCAAAGATTTTACCAAAAATACCTTCCCTTTTACAACGAACTAAATGACCAGTGAGCGCAGGTGATCGGAATAATGCCTAAAGCAGCAAAAGCATCCCAGGAAGTAAGTGAAAAAGCAAAACATAAACTGACGGATTATCATGCTCGTGGCGAAGTGCTGAAAGCTAATGCTATCTCATGCTCAACTCCAATGGCCGCCGCAGACAGAGAAGAGAACCCGAAGTCTCAAAGCAGCAAGGTGGATGAAATACTGTCGGTGGTCAATTCAATCCAAAAGGACTTCTCCTCTAGATTTGACGAAGCTCTGGGCTCCATCGACAGTGTACGCAAAGAGATAAATGACTGTGCTCAGCGAATTACAGAAACTGAAACACGCATCTCTGATGCGGAGAATGAGATAGAAATGCTACGAGCTAAGGTGGATACGCTGGAGACCAGGAAGAAAGATCTGGAAGATAAAGTTATGGATCTGGAGTCCAGATCGAGACAAAACAACCTGAGCTGGTCAACCTGCCGGAGGGAGCTGAAGGACAAAATCCATGTGAGTTCCTGGAAAAGTGGCTGCCTGAGACCCTCGGTGTCGGAGCGGTGACCGTGGAAAGAGCGCATCGAATTGGACCCCGGAGGGACAGCACCGCAACGCCACGCACTTTAATAATGAGATTTCTCAGCAACAATGATAAACAGGTTATTGCTCTCGCATCAAGGGCTAATACTGACATTCGCTACCAGAATCAGCAAGTCCGGTTCTACCCAGACACCGCGGCGGGACTGCTCCAGCTTCGGAAGCAGTTTGACCTAATACGAACGGAGCTACGCAAACTGGGATTGCGCCACAGGGTGGCTCATCCAGCCAAGTTGCTGGTAACTTATCAGGACCGAACCCATGCTTTTAAAACAGCGGAGGCTGCACGTGAGTTTCTAAAGAAGGTCAAGAAGAAAGCCGACGGGGAGGTAACAAAGGACTGAATACCCATTCGGTTATTAAATTAACCATTTGTGACTCGTTTGACCTAGCTGTGGCCTGTGTCGGTCAGTTGTTCTGATAGTGGAACAGTAGTGGATTATTATGAATACATACAGCGCTGCTCAGGCATGGCAAGAGTTAGAGTACACATGCCGGTTTATGTGCTTTTTCACAAGTTTAAACCCGTGTGCAAACAAGTGGAAGGTTAAATTGTTATATATAGAGAACAGCAGCGGTGGTAAAAACTTTTGTTTTGGTTATTGAGTGGTTAGACTGCTCCTCCCTGCGTGTGGATCAGTCACACATGGTAACGGGAAGTGTACAGAGGGGGGAGGGAGACCCATGGAGGTCGGTCGAGGTGCGGGTTTTCAGGTTTAGGGGATATGTTTTGAGTTTTGTTCTGGTGTTTAAGCTTCCCAGATGTTCATGTTCTTATGGGGAAAACTTTTTTTTCTTATCCATTTCTGGTAATCAGATTAGTCTTACATGTCGAAAGTTTTAAATCTTAAAATGATTACATGGAACTGCAGGGGCCAACAACGCTCAAAGAAGGTCAAACAAGTCATTAATAAACTGCATGATTTGGATTCCAGAATAGTATTTCTGCAGGAGACACATCTTATGGAAGAAGATGAGGGGCCGGTCAGTAGAAGGTGGCGGGGTAATGTATTTGCTTCTGCATTCTCTTCTAGAGCAAGAGGAGTTATGACTCTTGTCCATGAATCTGTCCCATTTCTAGTAAACAATGTTATCAAAGATAAGAATGGTAGATATTTGATAGTCCAGGGCTCCTTACTATTGGAAAAAATTAACCTGGTCAATGTATACGGTCCTAARACAAATGATTCAGGGTTTTTTCAGGACTTGTTCCTCTTACTTTCATCGATGCAGGGGTGCTTTGTGATTGGAGGGGATTTTAATTGCACCCTTATTCCAGAAATGGATAGATCCACTGGGTCAGATCRGACARATAGTAATTGTAGAACAACTATACAAATGTTTATGAAAGCTCTTAGACTGGTAGACATTTTTAGGGAACTCCATCAACAAACTAGAGCCTACTCATGTTATTCAGCAACATTTCAGACCTACTCCSGAATAGATTATWTTTTAATTTCATCAGAGCTAATATCCAAAATTCAAAACTGTATGTATGATAGCATAGTGATCTCAGATCACGCGCCATGCTGTCTGAGCTACTGTGATGAGAACCTCACAAGAGACCCCCCTAGATGGCGCTTTCAACATAAATGGCTGCAGGATGGGGAATTTGTTAAATATATTGGGCTACAAATTGATGAGTTCTTTCAGTTGAACACAACTCAAACAACAGCAAGCATCAGATGGGAAGCCTTTAAAGCATTTATTAGAGGTCACATCATTAG